TGTTGACGACTTTCCCATCTCCCCCTTCCTCTTCTTCGTCTGATCCCCTCCTCTTCGTCTGTGTACGTCTGGACCTGGCGCCTCTTTCCTGTGTACAGCGCCAGGCCCCTTCACACCTTGTGATGAGCATGATGTATGTTTGGTCTGCGTTCAAACATTGATTGGGCTAGTCACTAGTATTCTAGCATTCTGCTTCGCTATCTTGTACTACGTGAAAGAGGTCAGTCCCGGTCAGGTCAGGACTTGTATCGAAATCTTCCACTGCGCTATAAACCACCATTTTGTATGTATCGGAATGCACATTGCTTGTTGAGATTCCACTTGCACTGCATGGTCCGTTCAGTCCTTCTTATCACATTGCGGATCCTCGGTTTAGATGTACATCGCCCAACTGGGCATGTAACTCTCTCTCTCTCTCTCTCTCTCTCTCTCTCTCTCTCTCTCTCTCTCTCTCTCTCTCTCAGCCAGGTCTGTACGTCTGTCTTTGACTGTCGGCTGCCTGTGTGTGTGTGTGTGTGCACGCGTGGATGGGTGCGTATGTGTTTGCATGTTTTGGTAATATTAAGTTGTCATAGATTTGGCATTTATGGTGCGTGTCTCAGTCCGATACTTTGGCACATCGTGATGAGGGGGGAGGGGCAGTCAAGATTGACCAAGATTCAGAAGGCAGCAGTAATTCGGGGAATACCACCGAGTCAGGAAATGGTTGGTTATCGAACAAGGTGGAAACGGGAAAAAAATTATGGATCTTTCTTAACGCTTTCCTGCAAAGTAATGCAATATAGCCACACACCGATTGAAAGACCATAACTTCATAAGCAAATAGATGTATCGGCAGATTCGGCATGCAGGCAAATATAGACGGATAGACAGATTGAGGGTTCATTGAGCAATTGATGTACCCGAAGGAGAATATGCAGAAGCGCTACAGAATTATTATGAGGCTATGAGATTAGAAATTGATTCTTATGACCAAAGTTATATACTTTTTTTTTTTTACTTTTTTTTTTTTTTTGAATTGGACATGCTCCAATCTATTCGTGGGGAGCAACACGTTCTGGGAACCGGGCCCAGCGTCCCATTCAAAAACATATTGAGAGAATTGAGAGAATTGTGCAGGAAACTTTGAGATACCGGGGCCATTACCCGGCTTCGGCTAAAGATGATAGCTATGCAACCTACCCAACCATCTATAAACACGATGAAATTCAAAAGCAGGGGAAGGACCCTAAATATCAATTACTCATGCAATAACCTACCAAAGAGGTCCTACGAATAGGTGAAACCTACTCAATCCACCTACAACCACCACCGGCATGGCTAGAATCCGCACGAACCGAAGCTCTTCCGGGCCTCATGCTCCCATCAGGTTAGGTTACAGAGCTGCACCACCTTGCTCCAGCACCGGCCAGCATCGCTCCTGTTACGACCCCCGAAGACCACTAGGACTGCCCCCGCAAAGTCCCCCAGCTCTCTACCAGGCCTCACGCCCCCACTAAGCTAGGTCACAGAGTTGCGCCACCTGGCTCCGGCTCCGGCCAGCGTTGCTCCAGCATCGGTCTTCGAGGACCACCGACTTTTCAACCACCCCTCGCAGGATCATGGGTGGATTTGCCGGGTCTCGCCTATTCCTACTACCTCCTCGGAAGGCAAGCAAATGGCAAGCTATAGTTAGCTGGATGATAGATTTCGTCGAGCGAGATCGCCCCTCCCCCCCCCTACCCCTCCCCCCTCAGCCCTACACTGCCTCCGCCAAGGAAAGTCATCCACCCTCCCTCGGCCCCAATATTGGACCAATCCTCTCCCCCCTTACCCCAGGAGCACGCAGTTCCCACCTAAAACGTGCCCCCCCACCCCTTGCCCATTCCGCCTCCGCAGGGACTGATGTTGGCCCTCACACAGTCCTTGCCCCGGAATAAGGCAACCCCCTACTCCGCCCCTACCCTCTTTGAGACATTCGCCCGCCTCCTTGCGCTGCCTCTGCAGGATAGAGCTCCCCCCACCCCCTTCCCACCATTCAGCCCTCCGGGAACAATCCAATCCAGCCGATTAATGACACACAATGAGAATAGTAGTGACTATCAACTCACCTTCTAATGCAGAACAACATCTGATGAAAACAGTCTAATGATGATGATGATGATGATGATGGTGAAAGTGAGAGTAAAGACGGACTAATGGTGCTGATCATACCGAAGAGCAGCACCCACAGCCCCTATGATTACGAACTAATGATGATATTAATGATGATGAAGATGATATGATGATGGCGATGATGATGGTAATTTCGACAATGATGATGATGATGATGAGCTGATGATTGTATTGGTGATATTCATAACGTTACTGATGGTGATGAGCATACTAACAAGGCTGTTGATGGTGATGTAAGTAACGATGGTGATGATGATGATCATGATGATGAAAGTGATAACTCGGAACGCCCTCTGGTGACTACAAGAAGATGATGGTGTGCTGATGAGCACCTCGGATAGCAACCTAAGAATGATGACGATGAAGATTATGATGATGATGATGATGATGAAGATGCTGACGCACAGCGTCCTATGATAACTACAAGACGATGATGATGAAAATGATGATAACAGCGCCGAACTTCACACACCTTGATGAGACGTACCCTGATGCTGATGATGGTGATGACGAGCAGCGCCCTGATGATGATGACGAACCATTGCTGCGATGATGCTAACAAATCTCACCCGGTTGATGATGATGGTGACGAACGTGCGAGTGTCGCAGATGACAGAGATGCATACAAATCAAAATCAATGCACTCAATGTCGCCTCCAATCCTCCTCCCGCTCCACGTAAGCACTCGCTCCTCCCTTCCGTCCGCGTCATACCAACCGCCCACCACAACACTACGCAGACCAAGGAGCAAAAGCCATAGAAGGCTAAACTTCTCAAGGAGACCTACCTCCTCTCGTAGGCAAGTTCCCCTTCACCCAACGTGTCAACCTATAACACCACTGGGTGAAGCGCGAAGCCGGAGATGGCACTGAAGTGCTTTCAAAAGGTAGGCAGCACCAAGTCGCGCTCTATCTGCCCCCCGGCCCGCCGTCCTCCTCATCTCCCCGTCACCAAGGCGCCATCGCGTCGAAACTGCCTGCGTCATACCCGACTGCCACTTCGCGCGCGCCAGTTTCCAAGCTGCAGGGCGCCCCCGGACTGCCCGTGTGAAAACGCCAACCCGGCGAGGCGCAGCGCTCCCGGAAGTGCTGCGCCCCTGCTTAAGGGTCCCCTTCCTTTTTTTTTGTGGCCATAGGACTGATACATACTAGTAATGGAGAGCATGCAAAAGCATTGGAATATTATTTTCAAGCTCTTGAAAGAAATCCATCCTTGCCACAAGCTTTCAACAATGTAGCTGTTATCTGCCATTACGTGCGACTATCTCTATTGTGCTTTTATCCAGAAAAAAATATTTTGAAAGATATATACTAACTGGACAATTTTCCAATCAACCCACGGTCAGTTAAGGGTGGCAATGGATAAAGTCAGATATGCTAATCCTGCAATTTATATATCAATAGAAGAGAAAATTGAGAAATGCTCATAATGATGACAAGCTTTGACTGATAATGGGTGCTTCAGCTGTCATGTTGATTGAGGTTTGTAGAAAGGGCCGACCAGTCAAGCTTCTAAAGTTGAAACCCCTATAATGGGCCCTATTTATAATTAGCAGAGAACTGGCAGTAATCGAGGGCGAGGGCTTGTACTCAAGGACTTAATTAGGTTTGCGTCCGCAAATTCGAATCATGGGGATTTAACCGATCGATCGATCTATGAGGGTCTGTGTTACATGCCCAGTTGGGCGATGCATATATATAGCCAAGGATCCGCAATGTGATGAAAAGGACTGAATGGACAATGCAGTACAATCTCAACAAGCAATGTACATTTTGATACATACAGAATGGCGCCTTGTGGCGCAGCGGAAGACTTAGATATAAGCCCTGACCTGATCGGGACTGACCTCTCTCACGTAGTACAAGACAGCGCAGCGGAATGCTAGAATACCAATGACTAACCCAATCAATGTCGCAATGCAGACCAAACATACATCATCCTCATCACAAGGTGTGAAGGGGCCTGGCGCTACACACAGGAAGAATGCGCCAGGTCCAGGACCATACACAGACGAAGAGGAGGGGATCAGACGAAGAAGAGGGGGAAGATGGGAATGTCGTCCACACCAAGTCTTTGGTACAAGTCCCAGATAATCCCTCGTCAAATGTCTGAAGCCCAGTGTCGAGTCTGGATCCAAATGTCACCAAGCCCGCTCTCTCGTAGTCTGCTGATGCAGTGAAGTCAGGTAGCGAGAGGGTGAGAGGGAGATGGTGGACTGAGAAAGTGGAAGAAGAAGAACTCTCTCTCTCTCTCATGTGCCAGGTACTAAACTGTGAAGATGGCGCTGTGCTGCAGGTACCTCGACGGCGAGAGGGAGCTATGGCGCTGCAGGTAAGTCTCCCTGGCCTCCGCCCAATCTCTATCTCTCTCCAGTGCTACTCTAGCTCCTACGAGCGCCCAGCGCTGAAGATTACTGCTAACACTACTACTACTACTGCTGCGCTCCTCCAGAGTGCCGCTGCCGAATGCTGAAGACTACCTCCTGCCCCCTGAACTGCACGTGAAGTGCCTGGGAAGTCCCTATGAACTACTTGCAGTCCGCAGGGGGGCCCAGTCTTATATAGTGCTGGTGCTGGCCCGTCCAGGAGGCTGCTCTTGCCAATGCCTCAACGTGCCAGACCCAAAATGGCGTATAAGCTCAAACAAAGGGTGTCTTGAAAACAAGCCCAAAATGGCCTGTGCTAAAACCCTGGTCTGGTACCTGAGTTTCAGGGCAGGTCGATCTTATGAGGGCCTGAAAATGGCCCTCCGTTTCAGGCTGAAAAGACTCAGGGCCTGGAGGGCCCTGTTTTAGGCTGAAACGACACAGGGCCTGAAAATGGCCCTCGTTTGCAGGCGCAGCATGTAACAGTCTGTGTGGAAGTTGCATGGCGAGGTGTAGACTATCTTTTTGTTTCTGTTTTGTTTTCAACGAGGTGTAGTCGATCTAATGGCGTGTGATAAAAAATTCTATTTTATTCTTATGTTCGGGGTGCTGTTGGCGGTGGTTCTGGTGTGTGATCAGTACATTCAGAGTCCGGTGAGTACACTCTGTGTCGGCCAAGCTGCATCGATGGCATCACTGTTGCTGGCAGCAGGCCACCCAGGCGAGAGACGATCACTCCCTAATGCGAGGGTGATGATTCATCAACCATCGGGCGGTGCCTCTGGGCAGGCTAGTGACATTGCCATTCATGCGAGGGAAATATTGGACATGCGGTCTAGGCTGAATGCTCTTTATGTGCGCCATACGTCTTGTGACCTCGCCAGGATAGGTGAGGACTTTCTCTCTCTCTCCCCC